ACAAAGGAAGTACTGATGGTTGCCAACCAGGAGAAACCCAGAAGTGGCGTGGACACCAGCCCCTCGCCCTTGTCAGCCAGGCTGGGAGGCTTGTCATTCCCCTGCGTCACCCTGTCCTTTGTCCCTGAGAAATCTACTTTCTGAGAGCACCCCTCACTTGCCCAACCCCTGTTCCTATCCTCTGTTGAGTCAAGAGAAACTCTAAACAACCCATGTCCAAGGAAGTCACGGAAAGGTGGGGATGGATGAGAAGGCAGGGAGGAACCCAGGCCTGGTCAGCCCGCAGGCTTCTCAGAGGCAGAGGGCAGCCCACATCCCTTGGTTCAGGGCTTGCTTCTGAGAAGGCTTGCCCTGGAACACTATGGAGGAATTTGGAGCCTGCTCTATACAGCAGAGGCAAAAACACAGCGCCAACCCTACCCATGGGGACCTGGAATCTGGGCACGGGGCGTCAGATCTCAGGCCAAGTTGCTAATGGGGCTTCTGGAGGCTGCAAAACTGGTGTTAGCCAGAGTACTGAGCTGGCAGGCTCCAGACCTAACTGGAGAGGGGCAGAGGCTCCTGCAAGGAGGGGACCAGACCTCTCCCCATCACCCATCCTTGACCTCCCCTTCCTCCCCACTCAGGATCAAAGGCCTGGGGCATCCAAATACATGTGACCCAGAAAACTCCTTCTGAGGTGTGAAGAGCTGCACTGTTGCCCCACTCAGATTCCTGTGTTGCAATCCTAACCCCCAGCAGCTCAGAATGCCACTGTATTTGGAGATACAGCCTTTAAAGAGGCAATTAAGGTGAAAAGAGATCATTAGTGTGAGCCCTACTCCAATACATCTGGTGTCTTTATAGGAAGAGATGAGGATAAGGATACAAGCCGAGGGAAGACGATGTGAAGATACAGGAAGAAGACAGCATCTTCAAGCCAGGGAGAGAGGTCTCAGGAGAAACCAACCCTGCTGAAACCTGGATCTCAGACCTGTAGCCTCCAGAACTACGAGAAAACTCATTTCTGTTGCACAAGCCCCCCGGGTCTGTGGTGCTTTGCTGTGCTGCCTGAGCAGACTAATAATACTTCAGGCATAAGAAGCAGCAGAAGGCACTGCTCTGGAAATAAAGGGTACCCAAGATGGCAGACACCCCACTCCTGGCCACTGTCCCACAACAGACAACTTTGTCCAGTTGGAGGGTCCTTATTAATGAGCTTCCATTTGATTCTTCACCCTCATCACGCCCCCCTGCTCCTGGCCCAGGAGCAGGTGAGCCCAAAGTCTCCACCACAGCCTCAGCTTGCTACACAGAGACACAGCTGGACCCGTCCCACCATGAAACGGGCTTCCCTTGTGGTAGTGAGTCCCTGTCATCATTAGGGCTTGCGAAGTGAGACAATGATCCTGAAGGAGCCACCTGAACGGATTAGGGGTGTGGGTTCCGGGGTGCTGGTAAGCTGAGCTCCAAGGGAGGTAGAAAGGGATTTGGATTCCAATATCAACTCCACCTCTTGTCTCATGACTCTGGACAAGATTGCTAACCTCGGCCTACTTCCAGGGTCTTCATCCAGGAAATGGGGTTGGCACAGGCTGAGCTGAGCTAATGCCAAGGAGGGTCCATACATGCGGGTTTCCTGCCCCATTGGCAAGCCCCCTCCCTCTTGGGTTTTATGACTAGCCTGGCCACCTGAGCCTGAGAAATCAGCCTTCAGAGAACAGAAATTCAACAGAATTCGGGAGAAGGCTCTAAGTGTCACAGTACTGCTAGCTGTAAACTTGAACTTGGAGTTGGTCTGGGGGACTGCAGGCAGTGAGGAAAGGGTTAAACGCAGAGCAGTTTCTGAGATGATGGTTAAGTTAGGGGCAGCAGGAGGGCCTCCTAGGGGACCAGGAGCTCTGAGCCCGGTGCTGGCCATGCCTCACTGCCAGGAGAGGGCAAGGTGGGGACACAGGTCACACTAGAGGATGCAGGCCAGAGATGACATCTGCTGCTGACTGCCTGGCTGGGTGCTCCCTGCCCCCGCCATCTGAGTCTCCTGGTGGGCTCCAGAGGGAATGGTCTGGCCCCTACTATCACCCTCCCGCAGTGGGCCTGAAATAGAAGAGGTAGGCAGGGGGCCACTTTCAGAAATGGCCCCAGGTCACCTTGGACACTCTTCCCTCTACCTATTTCAAGAGGCCAGCCACTCATCAGAAGCATTCCTGAGTGAGCGGCGCACACTCTTCTCTGTGGGTGGGGCAGGGGCTCAGCTGTTGCCTGCACTGAAGTCTTGCTGAACACCTGCCTCAGGGCGAGCCCAACGGCCTCCGGGGTGCCACACTCCAGCGCACCCCTCTCGCCTAACCCTCCCTCTTTCTCACAGTCAGGATTGGGTGAACTTCTCTGTCCGTGGGTGAGAGGTAGCAGCCAGAGAGGTACTAGGCTCAGTGGGACCCAGGTACTGCCACAAAACCAGATGCCCAGAGCTGGCCCCTAGGGACGTCAGCCAACCCAGGATAGCATGGTGGGCAGTGCGGTGGCTTGAAACCCAGATCTGCTCTTGACTGGCTTGGCAAGTGGGGCAAGTTACTTAACCCCTCTGTGCTTCAATTTCCCCATTCAAACATAATAAGAGTCACAGAATGGCTGGGAGCATCAAATGAAACGGCAACTACCAAGTTCTTGGTGCCATGGCTGCTGCATGATAAATCCAGGCCTTTTCCCTTAGCCATGTCTTGCAGGCACCTGACACGCTGGCCACAGTTGACACAAATGTGTCAGGGACCCCCGAGGACACACGGCCTGCAGCCCCTCCTCAGGTCATGCTGCCCACAAGGGGCTCAAAATGATTTGTTGACTGAATCCCCATTTCACAGCAGGGCAAACCGAGACCCCAAGGGGCGGTATCTTGTCAAAGGATTTGAAGCCAGGTAGTTTGGTTGCAGAGGCTGCATTCTTAACCACATGCTAAACTGCCTCTCATGAAGGCTGCTACAGGCAGGTAGAGGGGACAGAGGGCTGGTGAGGGAAGGTCCTGGCTGCCTCTTCTGCCCCCTAGCCCTTCCTTTTTTCCCTTCTAATCCATTCCCTCAGACAGAGGGATGGAACCAGCGGGATCTTTTGGCCAGCTAAAGGTCAGCTCGTCCTGCAAGGACAGAGGGGCCCTGTCTGGAGGCTGAGAAGCTGGCCCTCTGCCGAGAGGGGGAGCCGCTCTCGGCTCTGCTGTCCCTGGGCTGCCTCCCACTCTGACCGTCTGCTCTTCTTCCTTCCCCTACAGCCAACTACATCCTAAGCCCCGTCTTTCCCACATCTCCTCCTCGCCCTTAATTATTTTACCTTTTATTTGCCTGGCACTTTATAGTTTACTAAATGTTTCTACATTTATCATCGCATTGACTGTGCACCAAGGAGAGATGGAGAGACAGTAAAAATTCTTTCCAATTGCCAAGTGTTCTTGTTAAAAATGCAAACATCCCCAGCACAACGACCAATTAGGCTGGCAGCCACTGAGACCTCAGAACAAATTTGCTCCAGCCTCTGCTTTCTGCTTGGCCGCTCAGCGCCAGGGGATGGAGGAGTGCTTTTCGGGAGCAGCCTGGGGGGTCGGAGGGGCCTGCTGGGGTGTCTTGGCCAATCCAAGGGTGCTGGGCCCCTGGGGGAGGAAAAGCACCCCAGGAAGGGGTTGGGAACTGAGGCAGGTGTGAGGACAGGCCATCCACTTTTCGACATTGCACAGAAAAAATGTGCTCTCAGCAAGTCCCCAGATTCTAGCCCAACCACCCTCCCTCATCCCACCTCTCTCTGAAACTTTGTGCACATTCTTGTGCCCCCAAGGTCAGAGGAGAAATCTTTATTCAAGAAAAGGCCCAAAGATTTTCAGAGAGGAGTCATCAAATCCAAAACCTTGGGGAGGGAGACGGAAGACAGCGCTGTGTAGAGGAAAGAGGGCAGGGGGAGGCCCCCAGGCCTGCCTGTCTCTAATTCAACTCTGCCATGGGCCCCAGGGGCCCCAGGATGGCACAGCCCCACCCAGGACTGGCTTCAGCTGGAAGGAGAAGCCGGACGCTGGGTGCTGGCATCCTTGAAAGGGCCATCCTGAGTCATGGGGGCAAATCAGGAGGTTCTGCCTCTGGGAGAGGTCTCAGTCACCCCAACGGAACACAGATCGGGAATGGGCTGGACCATCCCGAAGGTCCTCCCAGCTCCAACATTCTGCGGTCCTACGACCACCTCAAGAAAAGAAGCTCGTGGCCAAACCCCAGACAGGGCATCTCAAGAGTTCCTGGGCTCTGGGCATGCTCACTTTCAGAGCCCGCCCCACGTCTCCTTACACATATGCAGATAAACCACATACATAAATAGAACTCTCAAGAGATGACCTGAGTTGCAGTGGACGATTTGACATAATGTTGGGTTTGTAGCTAAATTAAACATGTATTAATTTCAATGCTGTTGCTTCTTTTCAAATTTCAGAGTGTATCAGTTTGTTCCCAGCTCTCAAACGTTTTTGTTGGCTGTTGATGAAAGCTTGCAGGCCCTAGATCCTGTGTCTCTGTTCCTAGTACCCTGACCCCAGAGAACTCAGGCAGCGAGCCTGAAGAAACCCAGCAGTGGGTTTAATACACACGTGACAAATGTTGTTTCTGCAGCACAACGGGGGGTATCTCAAGCTCCACTCAAGGCCGCGTCCTCCAAGGAGTCTTCCCAGATCACTCCAGCTCTCAAAATCCCTCCCTGCCAATCCCAGAGAACTCACTGTCCATGGAACTTACTTGGCTGCAGCAATACACTTCCACAATAACCCCCTTGTGGCCATTTTGCTGCCTTCCTTGGCTCTGTCCTCATTGTTATTTAATATATTCATATATGTGCCTTATCTTCCCCCAGTGGACTGTGAACTCTCAGAGGCACCTCAGACTTCCCCTCTGCCTCCTCTCGAACCCAGGTCTCTTGACAGCAGGCCAAGAGAAGCAAGGTCATGTGAGCAGAGGCTGTGCAGTTTGGATAGGGGCTGGGAGCCACTGGGTCCCACCTACCCTCCATGCAGTCATCTCGATGCCCACTGAAGTTGTCGTAGGAGTCCCAGCGGATGAGGGGGTCGGAGGTGTTATAGTCCACAGACACGCTCGGCCCGTTCTCCAGGTGCTCCATGCCTAAGTGGGATGGGAAAGGCAGGGGCAGTCAGGGAGACAGTGCAGAGAGGGAAAAGGATCAGCAGCTGGAAAAACAGAGAAAGCCCACAAGCTCCCCAAAAGATGCTCCCTGAGGGACTTCCCGTTTTCTTGAGCATGGCGGGCGGGACCAGTGGTTTAAGCTGGACTGAGAACTGGGAGTCCAGTTTCTTACATTCTTGAAAAGGCTCATGCTGGGTCATAGGGGTAAACCAGGACAGGCACTGAAGAATGAAGACCCCCTGGAAGAAAGCAGGGAGGACCCCTGGCTGGGTGTCTGCCTCTTTGTCTTCTGTGTGCCTGGGGCTTCTGAGGCAGTGCCAAGAGACCAGGAAGTCTGCCCCTGGAGTCAGACCCTGGGGGTGGGGGGCAGGCTGGTTATGAGCTGCATGGGGTCAAGGATAGCAGGGAAATCACAGCCCTGACATTGAAAGGACATAAAGCCTCCAAAGGTCATACCGGGCATGGCCCTGCCCCCTCTTAAAATGCTCTCCACTCCAGACAGAAACCTAGGGAGCACGGCAGAATCTCCTAGCCACCCACAGAAAACCCAGCTTAGCATTAGGACAAATACCTAATGCATGCAGAGCTTAAAAGTAGATGATGGGTTGACAGGTGCAGCAAACCACCATGGCACATAGATGCCTAAGTAACAAACCTGCACATTCAGCACATGTATCCCAGAACTTAAGGGAAAATAAAAATAAATAAATAAATTTTTAAAAACCCAGCTCAAAGACAGCATAGCTGCTAGTCAAATCTGTCAGGGTGAGTTACCTTCCTGGCTTGGCAGTCCTTTCTTTAGTCTATCCAGAGTCCCTCTGCCCATAACCTAACTTCATCCCCTTTCATTCCATTCTCAAATAAGATGGTGAACAACTGGTCTCCACTTATAACCAGTCTAGAGGCTTCAAGGTTATTATTAAACTGGCCTTCAGGTTGAATCACCTCAGTTCTCATAAATACGCATCATCTATCCAGCACCTTTGAGTATCCCCTGCCCGCCAGCCACTCCCTCCATCTACCGTGGCCCTCACTCTCTGAATATAACAGGCTGATGACCTAATGTGACCAGAACAGTTTATCCAACCCAGTGCCTCTCTGTCTGCTTTTTTATTTTTATTATCCAGAGATTAAGTCACTGGTTCATGTTTAGCTAGGGGTCCACTCTGAAACCCAGATCCTCTACTGATGGCCTGCGTCTCAAAGATAACTTGGTCATTGTGGAACAGACCGGGGTGGAAGGGTGGTGGGGATAGGGTCAGGATAAAAGGAAGGAGTGAGAGAATGAATTCTAACTTGGGTTATACCTTGAATTTTCTCTGGCCCATAAGAAAATACAAACTCCACTTTGCCATACTCTGGAAATCGATCATCTGGAAAAAGAGAAGGAAAAACAAAAATAGGCAAAAAGTCCCAAAAAGGACTCCATAAAAAGTTTTCTTCTAGAAAAAATTAAAATACCATGTATGTACATGGTTAATAATATAATAATCAACGTATATTTATACATATATACATGAAATTATATCTATACAATGAAATTAAATCTCCTGCCACTCTAGCCCCTGTCCTACTTGCCTGAGGTAATGAGGTAACTGATTGTATTTCTATTTCTTTTCTACTAGCAATTTACCTCTAAGACTCTAAATAATAGCCATTATTTTTATGCCACTATTTCCAGATACCTATTTTATTTTATTTTATTTTATCTTATCTTATTTTATTTTATTTTGAGATGGAGTCTCATTCTGTCGCCCAGGTTGGAATGCATATTTATATTTTTGAGACAGAATCTTGCTCTGTCATCCTAGATGGAGTACAGTGGTGCGATCACAGCTCACTGCAGCCTCAATCTCCCAAGCCAAAGTGGTCCTCCTATCTCTGCCTCCAGAGTAACTGGACTACAGGTGCAAGCCACCACGCCCAGCTCATTTTTGTATTTTTTGTAGACAGAGTTTTGCTGTGTTGCTGAGGCTGGTCTCAAACTCCTGGGCTCAAGCAATCCACCGGCCTCAGCATCCCACAGTGCTGGGTCTACAGGTGTGAACCACCATACCCAGCCAGACATGAATTTTAAATAACTTCTGTGGATTGACCACTATGAATATGAATAATTTGGTTCACTTACACTACTACCCCCACTTCCTCTCTTCTTAAATCTGATTATTGTTTTTATTTATTCTATTGATTGTCTTTGAAACTTTAAATAAGATAGTTAAGCCTCTATTTCTTTTTCTCTTTTTAGAGACCAGGTCTCACTCCGTTGCCCAGGCCAAAGTGCGGCAGTGCAATCATAGCTCACTGCAGCCTTGCACTCTTGGGCTCAAGTAATACTCCTGCCTCAGCCCCTGGAATAGCTGTGATGACAGGTGCATGCCACCATGCCCGGCTAGTTTTTTTTATTTTTTGTAGAGACAGAGGTCTCACTATATTTACCAGGCTAGTCTTAAACTCCTGGCCTCAAGCAATGCTCCCGCCTTGGCCTCTCAAAGTGCTGGGATTACAGGCATGAGCCACCGTGCCTGGCCATGCCTCTATTTATTGATCTGTCAATTTTCGATGGCATTTCCTGACTCCTACTATGTAAGAGAAGGAAATCTGTGACCCTCCCTTCTCTCAACTTCTGCCCAACCCCTTATTTATTTTATCAGCTATTCCTTTATTTTTCCTTGTTAAGACTGCTATCATTTACATTCTGTACTATAATTATGATGGCATCTTCTGGCTCCAGTGCAAGGAGAGCTCATTAAAGAAACACCCTTCTACATGAGCCAGGCTACACTAAGGAGATCTGGACCCTCCTCCAAGCCCCAGTTCCAGTCTTTCTCTGCCTGAGCCCAGTCTAGACACAGATCACTGCCCACTGCTTGTAGGAAAATAAGTTACAGCAAGGATGGCATCTGCTCCATGGGACACCTATCATGCCTGTGCATGTCTCCATCACTGCAGGCATCACTTCATAGTATCATGTTTGTGTGTCTCTCACTGAGGAAACTGTGAACTCCCTGAGGGTAGTGCCTGACTTCTTTCTGTTCATATCTATAGGGTCTAGCACATGCCCGACACATATAGACACACAAGTGATGCTTGGTGGGTGGGTGGATGGATGGATGGATGGATGGATGGATGGATGGGCAGATGGATAGATGGACAGATGAATGAATATGTGGATGAATGGATAGATGAATGAAGGGATGGATTAATGGATGGATGAATGGATGGGTGGGTAGATGGATGGGTGGGTGGATGGATGGATGGACGGACAGACGGATGGAAGGACGGATGTATGGATGGATGGATAGATGGATGGATGTGTGTAAAGATGAATTGGTGGATGGAGAGAGAGATGGGTAAATAAATGTGCATTTATATGTCCCAGGCATGAATGTGATATAGATAAAACTTCCAATGAATAAAAGAAAGAAGCAAAAGCAAACACCAAACCTTTCCGAACCACCTCTTCTTCTCTCAGAAAATGGTTTCCCCTTGCGGCGGCCATACCTCTCCACTATTGCTCTTCTGCCCTACAGGGTAATTATCCCCTGCTGGTCTGTCTGCCAACTCAACAAGATTTTTGAACTCCACCAAGGCAGAGACCATGTCAGGTTTCACTTTGAATCCCCAGCACTTGGTACAGATCCTAACACAAAGCAGATGCCCAATGAATGTTGAAAAGAAATGATTATCAACAGGACACACGTGACAAACTGGGAGGACAAGATGAAGGAGAGACAGGGAAAGTAATAGAAGGCTGCAAGATATAAAACAGCCCAAGGTCTGGGAGGAATTTACCTCCACTTCTACTAACAACTGGAATTCCCAGACCATCCCGATCTCAACTCTCTCTCAAGTCTCTCTCAACTCTCTCCCATCGTCACCCTGAGACTAGACAGACCACGTGGCCCAGAAAAGATGGTCCCCATACCCATCATATCCTCTCAAACTGAGCTCCTCTCCCTGCTACAGGGGTGCCCACCCCCAGCTCCACTCAAGGAGCGCACCTTTGAAAGCATCATCAAGGTCCTCCTTCCCAAAGACAACCCCCAGGTCATGGATGGCACAGGTGTGGAACTGCACACGGAAGATGACGTCTCGGGCTGGGCTTCGGAACTTCTTGTGGTAGCACTTCAGCTGGGTGGGAAGATGGGCAGAACCAGTCAGGGGTCTGAGGCTGGGAGGTCAGGTCCCAGGGAGCCTCCTTATCAGCTCCACTGACTGAGCCCCCAAGGCTCACCCCAAACCCGATGAGGGAGAGCTCATCAACACCAAACAGGATCTGAGAGTTCTGTGGGGAAACTTCTAGAACAGCAAAGAATTGGAGATCAGCCTTGGCCTCTGGGGACAAAAATGTCCTCCCAAGAAGTTTCTGCATACAAGTCAGAGTGCAAAAAGTAAGACTTGCATACAAGTCAGAGTGCAAAAAGTAAGATGGATTTAAATGGCAGCAGGAAGGACTAAAGCTAGAATTCACAGAGTCCTTGTCACCAATAAGAAGCCAGGAGGTAACAGCTCACACTGAGTGGTATTTCCCTGGAGATGCTCCAGAACAACAGCTAAGCCCAGGGTGAGAGACACGGACTGTGTGAGACTGGAAGGTCTTCCAAGAGCCCTGAGAGCCTATGGTTCCAAGCCCGGCAGCCCAGGAGGAGTAGCTGTCTTGTCCCGAGAGGCAGGAAGGGAGTAAGAAAAGAAGAGAGAGAAAATAAACAAAGATGGGGCTTGAGACAGAGGAACAGCACTCACCAAGATGTCTCCCTTCAAGAGCAGTCCTGGCTCGATGGTGATGCAGACGCTAGTCTGGCTGTCTCCTGGGATGTTGCTAAGGGAGAGAGGTGGACAGAAACCGAGAAGGCTGCTGGAGGGGAGATGACTCCCTGCTGCCCCTATGCCACAGGGTTAGTGGGAAATCTCTCTGACTCTGTCCTTTCAGTCCTCTTGAGAACACTCTCTCCTCTCCCCACCCTTCTGACCTGGTCCTTAGCCCTGGGCCTTGGGCATCCCTGGCCTCTCATGCCCATGTAATACTTACTAGATGCCAGACGTGTACACAGGTTGCATGGCCTGGTAGATGCGGAGAAATGGCCGACATCCTGTAAAAGTGGGGTGGGTGTTAGCTAAGACAGCAGAAACTGGCAGGCGGGAGGGGCAGAGGAGACAGTGAAGGGAGAAAGAGAGAAAGGAAAGAAGGAACAGGGGAAGTCGAGGTAGGAAGGGGAAGGAGGAAAAGAGGAAAGAGAAAAAGAGGAAGCAGAAAGGGGAAGAAATGCCAACTTTTCACTTGTAAAGCAAACTAAATTTATAAAAACATTGCCCATCCAACATCATTGGCCAGCAGGCGCTGCAAATATTAAACCCATTTTGAAAATGAATAGATTGGGGCTTAGAAAAGTTCAGGAAGCAATGCACTTGAGAGTCCAATGGAAGTCTTATGACCCTGTAGCTCTCGTGTTGTCTGTTACTACCCAAGGTTGCCTCTTAGAGGAGAAGATGGAAGATGAAAGGGAAGAGTTGGTAAGGGGGAGGCTGGAGGGCTCAAGGCAGGTACCTCCTTTAGACTCAAAGTTGGGGATGCCGTGCATGATCACGTGGTGCAGAAACAAGGGCTTGTTGTTCATTTTGATGGAGCCGGAGAGCAGGCCGCTGAAGTAATGCACATACCTGCAGTGGTGGAAGAAGCAGCTTCAGGGAGAGAGGTCTGCGCTGGTGCAGCAATCACTGTTCTGTCTTTTCTAAGAACATTGCCCTAGATCGCTTACCTACTCTACCCTCTCCCCAACCAACATGGTCCCCCTCCCCAACCAGGCCTCCCTCCCAGACATTCCTGCCTGCTACTGGGAGCCCCAGGTAGGAAGAGTGAGCAGGTATACCAGACCTAGAGCTGGGTCAAGCCAAGCATCCCACTTGGAGTTCGCCACCGCCCTCTGGTGGTCAACATGAATATCTCTTTCCTGCTTCACTCCCAGCCCAAGAATCTCCTGCTGTACCAAAATTTCCACCCCACATCCCTGACAGGCAACATTTAGCTGCACAAGGCAGGCCCAACCACCAAACAGCTCTGACACCCTCACACCCCCACACAAAGCTCAAATCAAGCTTGCACTCATACCCACAGCCCCAGCTCTGCCCACAGACCCAGTAGCCACAAGGGACAGTCTAGCAAATAGTGAGCAAGACTTTAACAGATGTAGTTCACTTTCTCTACATCACACTAAAGTGCATGAAGTCCCTCTCTTGGTATCCTTGAGTTTACTTGGTAATCGAGGTAACTAGCTTCTAATAAGTATTACTAACTCTAGGGTCAACATCCCCCAATATTTTTTTGTTTGTTTGTTTTTGAGATGGACTTTCACTCTTGTTGCCCAGGCTAGAGTGCAATGGTGCAATCTCGGCTCACCACCACCTCTGCCTCCCGGGTTCAAGCAATTCTTCTGCCTCAGCCTCCCGAGTAGCTGGGATTACAGGCATGCGCCAACATGCCCAGCTAATTTTGTATTTTTAGTAGAGATGGGGTTTCTCCATGTTGGTCAGGCTGGTCTCGAACTCCCAACCTCAGGTGATCAGCCCGCCTCGACCTCCCAAAGTGCTGGGATTACAGGCATGAGCCACCGCACCTGGCCAACATCCCCCAATTCTTTAACAAAGATCTGTTGGAAGAATGGAAGGACTAACCCATACCTTCTCCTTCTAGACAGAGAGGATAAATAAGGTCCAGGAGGGGTCACTGGACTCCAGAGACACACAGCAAGAAAACACAAAGCTGGGAGTGGATGGGGAGAGCAGGAAAGAAGTCTGGACCCCAACGCATCTGCCCAATAAACTAGAGATCAGTCCTTCTGCGTCCATTAGTCAGCATTTTCCCTTTTCTTATTGGCCAGGGAATGCCAAGCTGAGTCAGTTAGACCAATCAGAATGTATGCCAAGGCCTCTGCAGGAGCCAATAGTAGGTCTCTGAGGAGGGTGGAACTAGAGCCCACATGACCATGATAAGATCCCCTCCTGTCTCTTGGCTCCTTGGCCCACCTCCAGGCCTGTGCGCCTCTGTCCCTGGGCTTGGGTGGGGCCTCCTCGGACTACTCAAGTAAGATAATCTGATGGGCAGTACCCGCTCCTATTCAGACCCCTGCCCCATTACTCAAGCCGGAAACCTGGAATAGCAGTTCCTATCAGATCTCTGGATCACGCCAACAGGATGTGTCTGTGTTCAGGGGACAATGAGTCCGGGGGCGGGTGACAATGAATGAGAGAGCTACAGGCAAAGCCCCTCCCTCTCTCTTTCCCTGCCTTCCTCTCCTCCATCTGCTCCATTCCCTGCAAGTGACACTGACAAGAAGGCAGGAGGGTGGCAACAAATGCATAGTAAACCCACAGTTGCACTTCCACATCTGGGCTCAGAGAGGTGACCCACCCACAAACAGAGGCAGTGTCAGATAGGAGCCAGGCAGACACGCCCCAACGGCACGCTGTGCAAGCGCATTTTGAACACCAGGTGATACGGTTTGGCCGCATCCTCACCCAAATATCATCTTGTCGTAGTTCCCGTAGTTCCCTCATGTTGTGGGAGGGACCCAGTGAGAGATAATTGAATCATGGGAGTGGTTTCCCCCATACTGTTCTCAGGGTAGTGAATAATTCTCACAAGATCTGATGGTTTTATAAGGGGAAACCCTTTTCCCTTGGCTCGCTCTCTTCTCTTGTCTGCCACCATGTGAGATTTGCCTTTCACCTTCCGCCATGATTGTGAGACCTCCCCAGCCACGTAGAACTGTGAGTTCATTAAACCTCTTTCTTTTGTAATTTGCCCAGTTTTGGATATGTCTTTATCAGCAGCGTGAAAATGGACTAATACACCAGGGAATCCCTAAATAATCCTATTCCTGAGAGATGACACTGATCCCTGGTCTTCAGACCTTCACTGCTCAGACTCAGAGATGTGATTCTCTGCCCATTCTCTCCAAGTCACACTGTGCCATTGGAACAGCATGCTCCTCTCTTAGTATCCTTATCCTTCAAGGTCAAAGGTCAAACTGTGATTATGGTCAGCAGACACACATGGCAAGCCAGAGACTGAGAAGGCAGTATTTGACCAATCGTTCTTCTTCCCTGAGAAGACTCTCATTGATCCACAGCTGCTGTGTCTGGGGGCCTAGCCAGAATTTTCTGCACATAAAGACATCCCATTTCTGGTTGCTGACTCTGAGGCTGGCTATCAACTGTTTTGTGCCCACTATAAGGTGCTGAGTTGCCTGAGGACTCACTCACTTCTTGGGCTTCCAATTACATTGGTGGGAATAGCCCCCAGCTGGGACAGCAAAGTTCTAGCCAGCCAAGCAAGGCAGGGTGATGGGGCATGTGTTGAGACCCAGCATGGTGAGGCTAAAGAGCTCCAGGACTCACAGCTCTAGGCCCTTGTTGGCCCAGTCAATGTGCACAGGGACTAAAAAGGCAAATGGGATGCTTTGGCCTCCAGGCCCTTCTAGTCAGTGCTATTCCTCTGTCTGGATCCTTTACCCTGGGCACATTCACTTGGAGGCTTCCTTCTCCCTACCCAGATCTCATGTTACACGTCACCTTCTCGGAAGGCCCTTCCATGTGAATCAGCCCTCTTGCCAGCCCCATCACTCTCTAGCCATCATAGTTTGCTTTTTCTTTGCAGCTCTCATGACTATCTGAATTGTTTCCTTATATGTGTATCATCCACTAGAAGCTGAGCTCCCTAAGCCCTTGCCTGGCAGATTCCGCACCATGTCACCTGTGTGCAGAACGGTGCTGACATCACAGCACACAGCAGGTGGCAGGCCCACAACTCCCAGCAGCAAACGGAACTGGGCCTGTGTCCCACTGTCCAGGTCTCCAGCTTGGGCTTGGGTTTCCCACCACCCTGGCTGCAGCCTCCCCCAAAGACCACCTGCCCCTGATGCTGCCTGTGCCTTCCTGTGGATGAGATGTCATTGAGCAACACGTCACCCACGGAGCAGGATCCCTCAGGACAGTGGGACACACAACCGGGGGCCACTGCCCTGGCCCAGGCATTACTAGGCTTTCATGTACTTTCCAGTTCTGCCACTACTCGCTATAGACCCTGGCCATGTCCCCTCCCTCGGCTCAGCTTCTAATCTGCAAAATGGGATGCCTAGGTCGTCACATGACAGCTCACCATGATTCCAGTTTAGGCTCAGATTCACTCCCTCTAAGAGGTATTCCCCAACCATCCCCCTTAAAAGAGCCCCGTTCCCCTCCTTTCAGTTCTCGTGTCTGCAGTGCCCTCTTTCCTTCCTAGCCTCGTTGCTGTCTGACATTGTTTTGTTTGTACGGTTATTTGTTTCATGTCCATCTCTCTCATTGGGTATCAGTTCACCAAGGGAAAGGACTTTTTCCTATTCGCCTGGATATCTCAGTGCTTGGAGCCATAGTAGATGATTTAAAGTTTGCTGAATGAATAAATCCATCCCTGCCCTGTTTCCTGCCTGGGCTATTGTGAGACTCCAATGAGACCATACGGTTGAAAGCTCTCAGTAAAACTGTCTAAACTCTCCCAACAGAAGGTGACCCTTATCATGAGTCTCTGACCTCCCACAGCAGGGGGCAGTGACGCAGTCTCCTGTAGACTCATCCAAGCACTGAAGCAATCCTGCCTCCAGGGCCAAGAACAGCACACGCCTTCCTATGCCAGCGCCTTTTTATCCCCAGACTCCTGCTTGCCCACGAAGGTTGCACTGCTCTCTAGCACAGGCCTCAGAGTCAAGTGCTGTGCCAACCTGCGGGCACACACCACAGGCTGGCTCCCGGGCTCTTCTGTGTGCCTCAGCTCATACCACTGCAGGCTGGCATCTGAAAACATGTGCCTGGTACACCCTCACCTAGGCACAGCTATCCCATCCCTGTGGGTACACAAGTCTTGTCTCCACATACAGTGAGTGCACACATACATGCATGGGGCTGAGAGCCCCAGAGACCCACCTTCTTTGGGATGGCTGGCCAATGGGCACAATCTTATCCTCATAGAACCGCTTCATTGCAAACCGGTCCAGAGCCTGGTCCGCACTGCAGGGAGAGACAGGTGGTCAAAAGAGGCAACTCCTGCATCCAAGAGCCCCTTGTTTTCCCCACCCCTGCTCCCTCAGACCTGCAGAGCCCTCTGGCCAGCCCTTGTCCTGGAGGGAAGACAAGCCTCTTCCCCCTGCCATCCTGTGCTGAGAAGCTTTCTGGAAAAGAGTGCTTCAGCATCTCTCCAACTGTGTGGGGTAGCACTCAGCCCAGGCTTTAAAGCTCAGCAGCCTGGGAGCCCAGCTCAGGTCTACACTTATGAGCCCCATGCCCTGGTACAAGTTCGTGAATCTCTCTGAACTTCACTCTCCTCACCCATCAAATGAGGGTGACAATTGCCCCTTCCTCAAAGGTGACTATGGAGATGAAGCGAGGGAACATCCATAAAGAGCTTGACACACAATAGGGGTACAGGAGTACAGTAGGGGTGTGGCCTCATCTTTGCTCATCATTAAGCAAAGATGAGACTGGCTTGGGTTGCTCAAAGTCCTAACGCTACAGCCTCCTGGCAGGCCCTCCACAGAAGATTCTACCCGTCCTCACAGAGCGCTCAGATAAATCACTTTGAAATGAAAAGATCACGAAGCTCCAGTGACTTCCCATCACTCTTAGAGCAAACTCCAAAGTCCTCAGTGAGGCCACGAGGCCCCATGGCTCTGCCACCTCCTAGCTTACCCTCCTCTTCCTCTTCCCTCACTTGCTCAGCTTCAAACACTCCAGCCCCTCACATTCCCGTCCTTCCTCTTCTTTCAGTGTGCAAGGCTCATCCCGCAGGCCTGATACGGCTCAGCCCTTCCCATCCTGGTCACTCAGGTCTCTGCTTCAGTGTCGCCTCATCAAGAGGCCTCTTCTGACCATGTACCCGCCTCTCCACTGCCCTTCTCGAGTCCCTTTACTCTTTAATGATAATTAGCACCTGCTATTACTAATGTATTTGTTTGCGTGTTTAATGCCCATGAAGGCAGTGACCTGGCTTTGCCCTCTGCTGCATTCTCAGCACCTAGAACAGAGCCTGGCACATTGGCTGTCCAATATTTATTTATTTTTTTTCTTTTTTAGACAGAGTCTCCTTCTGTCACCCAGGTTGGAGTGCAGTGGTGCCATCTCGGCTCACTGCAACCTCCGCCTCCCAGATTCAAGGGATTCTCCTGCCTCAGCCTCCTGAGTAACTGGGATTACAGGCACCTGCCCCATCATACCCAGCTAATTTTTGTATTTTAGTAGAGACAGAGTTTCACCATGTTGGCCAGGCTGGTCTCGAACTTCTGACCTCAAGTAATCCACCTGCCTTGACCTCCCCAAGTGCTGGCATTACAGGTGTGAGCCACTGCACCTAGCCATATTCCTTGTTGAATGGATAACAAAATGAATGGGTGAATCCCTCTGCCTCCCTGAAGAGTGGGATAGGAAAGGGAGTCAGTGACTGGATGTTCTTTATTCTTGTTCCAAACACCTAGGTAGGAAGAGGGCCCCCTGTTGTCCAGAGGCAGAGGAATGCATGAGACAACTTCTATATTCTATATTCTATATTCTATATTGTTCTGCCAGACCCAGATCTGATCCGACATTTCTTTCTGACTCCCTTCCTGCTGGCCCAGGGAAAAAGAAGGTGGTTTGGTAAGGAAATGGGGCTCCGAAGAGCTGCCCATATGGGGTGCTCAGGACAAGGCCTGCCTCCCAAGCCTGCCCCACCAGAGCCCCCAAAAGAGAACTGGACTCTCTTCCCTCCCACCCTCTGTCCACGGGCTCCTGCCTCAGAGCTGGGGGCCCCTGAACCCGTCCTCATCGCTTTGCATTCCCTCTGTGCTTATCCCGTCACTCCAGGGAACAGAGAGGCTGTGGGTGGATAAGAGGAAGGGGTCACACTGTCAATGTTCCGGAGGATGGGCGGCTCCAGGCCCCTCTTACCTGGCAGAAATGTTGCTGTAGTGCATGTAAGCCGCGATGACAACTCCTATCCTGCCTCGGTTTCCCTGAAAGAACCCCCAAACACAAAAGCATTTATTTCTAAGGCCAGCCCTGCTGCCCCAGAGCTTATCTAGAAGCCTTGGTGGAAAGGAATTAGGGCTGGAGAGAGGGGTGTGGATTTAAGGGAGAACATAAGGAGGAAGGAGGCCTCAGGGGAGGGAAGCAGGTGGGGACTAAGTCTCAGAAAAAACACATCTGATCATTCACTGCCGTGGACATAAGCTGATGTCACCTGCACTTCTTAGAGGTGCCCCCCAAGACAGAATCTATTATCCCCTAGAAAGAAAAATACACACAGACTTATATGCTCACAAAATCCAAGGATATAGGCAGGTACACACGATCATCCAAGGACACATTCAGGCACTCACACACACACACCCATGCCACAGCTCTGACCTTGTTGTGTAGAACAACGACATTGTGGGGGTCTGCGTTGAGCCATGTGTCCATGGCCTTACAGATGCTGCAGATCTTCTCCAGGGCTGGGGTGTGGAGGTCGGGCCAGCCAAATTCCAGTACCTACGGCCCAAGCCATGAGTGAGAAGAGGGCAGAAGCCCTGCAGAGTCAACCAAGCCAGCGGGAGCCGCCCACGCCACGTGCTAGTACCTGGGCGGCGGCCCGCAGCTGCTGGTTCCTGCCAGGACTTGGTTCCTCCCTGCCCACTGGTCAGCAAGGAGGCAGGGGTGTGAAGAGTAAAGGCCATGCATGACCCAGTACTGGGGACCCTGGATCCAGGTCTTGGCCCTGGCAGTGACTCACTGTGGGGCCTTAGGCCTCATGTCCTCTTCCAGTCTCAATTTCCCCATATGTGTGTTTAAAAAAAAAGAAAGGCTTAGAGCTGATGACCCCAAGGTCCCTACCATAGAACTGACTTCCAACGTGCTGAGGGGCCCCAAGCACTGCCCTCAAGCTCTTCTCCCACGGACAGCTCTGAGGTCTGGCTCAGGCTGAGAGAGGAAAAAGCAAAGGGCTGTCTGATGTTCATGACTCTTTTCTAAGCCCTGGACACACAAACCATCCACTTTCCAGGCCAGTCAAGAGCAGCCTCAAGGACACAAAGGGCAGACCTGAAGAGCAGGCTTCGGGCCTCTCAAAACCTTTCTAGACTCACCAACTTTAAAGTAAAAGAGAACTCTGCAAGGACCCGTAGAGCATACCTAATCCAGCCAGGCCACTTTCAGAGGGGCGCACTGAGGCCCAGAGAAGTCCGTCACCCCCCCAGGGTCACACAGCAGCATGTACCAAACTCTCAGAGTTAGGAGCAGATGCCCATGACAAAGCCCGCACACAGCCCCCCGAGCAAACAGAGTAAAAAGCAGCAGCAGGGCCAGCCTCGCTGGCTCACGCCTATAATCCCAGTACTTTGGGAGGCCAAGGTGGGCAGATCACTTGAGGCCAGGAGTTTGAGACCAGCCTGACCAACATGGCGAAACCTCGTCTCTACTAAAAATACAAAAATTAGCCAGGCGTGGTGGTGGGCACCTGTAGTCCCAGCTACTCGGGAGGCTGAGACAGGAGAATCGCTTGAACCCAGGAGGCAGAGGTTGCAGTAAGCTGAGATCATGCCACTGCTCTCCAGCCTGGGCGACAGAGGGAGACTCCGTCTCAAAAAAACAAAAAAACAAAAAACAAAAAATGGCAGCTGGAAGGTCAAAAGCAGCAACTCCCAACTACTTTAAATCCAAAAACTAAACATCTCACAATTCCAGCCTCACCCAAGAGATTCTGTGTACTCCCCAGCAGGCAGACCTGGGTGGAAAGTCACTGCCCCAAGCTTTGCTTTCTGTAATTTACATTATGGAAAGGATAAATAGATCATTTTCCATTTTCCAGATAGAAGATGGCACTCTGACTTTGAATAGGCTTTTCAAACTGTCACAGCATTTTCCCCAAGATTATTATGTGGGAACCGCGGACAGGGAGTCCATCTGTTCTTCTCCTCCCCCACCCCAAAACAGCCACTGGCTCACCTTGGCATGGAGCTTCGTGATGTCAGGTCTCCGCTCAGAGAGGTTGAACAGCTAGAAGGAGAAAAAGGAAGAGAGCATGAGGAGGTGAGAGTCAGGAGCGCAGTGAGGGGAGAGAGAACCATGGGCTGCTGGTCCCAGGAAGGATGGTGGCATCATCACCAACTTCCTCTGAAGAGCCCACGACAGCACCCAGCAGGGCATCGATGTCCTTCCACAGCCAGGGGCCTGGCCATGAAACAGCCATGAGCTCCCTGGACCTCCTGTACCTGCTCTCACTCTCTCTCCCCTGATAGGAATTCTATCCATACATGAACATGCAGGTGAGTCCCAGCAGACACACCATCACCAAGAGGAACTAAACTGTAGGTCCTCAGGATGAAGAGGGAGAGAGAGAGAGAGATGAGGACACTGAGCCACCCCACTCCATGAGCGGATATCCTGAATGGAAGACGAGACAGGGATGGAACTTGTCTCCAGTCCCGCTTGCCTCTCGTCACACTGAACGGGAATCCAGTGGTGTGAGATGATAAGTAGTTGGCAATCTCTGGTTTCCACTTCATACATAGACCTTAGAACCTCATCCCATGAGGCTGCAACTTCTCTGTCACCAGACATCCTCCATCAGAGGGGCAAACCATCCTGGGTGGTCCCAATCAGACCCTTGACATACCTCTCCCAGCACATGCTTTTCAATGCGTGACCACTGGGGTCCCATTCCTGACCACTGGAATCCCACGGAATTCCCCAGTCTCTGGAATTCCTGCCTCTACCTCCAAGGGGGGCATGCAGAACTTCCCACCTCCACCCCACTGCCCGGGAAACTCAAAGGCCACTGTGTCATCTCCTGGGGAGAAAAGGGGACAGCCCAGTCTGGAATAGGCAGGATAGAGAGAGGGGTGGCAGGGCACCAAGTCCCCTAGAACCCTGGACTCCTAAAATCGGAAATAGGTGGATTTTCATCCACTCTTGCACTCTGTAAAGGAATACACTTTATTATGTTACAATAGCCATCACTCAATGAATGTCTGCCACCTGCCAGCCGTGTTAAGGACTTTACATGTAACAGCTGGCTTAATTCTCTCACCAACCGTAAGAGGTAGATCTTAGACCCACTTTACAGATGCAGAAGCTAGGGCTTAGTGAAGCTAAACAGCCAAGATCTTGTAGTTAGTAAAAGGAGAGCCAGAATTTGAACGCAGAGCTTTCTGATGTTTAAAGCCAGGCTCTTAACAATGCCCCAATGCAGCTAACAGATGGGTCTCTACAGTGGTTGAATAGTATCCTCAAAATGTCATGTCCGCCCAGAACTTCAGAATGCAACCTTGTTTGGAAACAGTGCCTTTGCCAATGTAAGTAGTTAAGGATCTCAATATGAGATCAACCTGGATCTAGGGTGGACCCTAAGTCCAATAATTGATGTCCTTATAGGAAGAGAAGGCACACAGACACACTGAAGAAGGCCACATGGAGATGGAGGCAGAGGTTGGGGTGATGCGCTACAAACCAAGGAATCCCACCAAAAGCTAGGAAAAGGCAAGAAGGGATTCTGCCCATAGGATTCAGAGGGAGTGTGGCCCCCTCAACACCTTGATTTCAGATTTCCAGCCTTCAGAACTGTCAGAGAATAACTTTCTGTTATTTTGAGCCACCAAATTTAAGGTAGAGTCATCACTTGGTGTCTATGGGGGATTTGGATCTAGGACCCCTCCACCCCGCCGTGGACAGTAGATATCAAAATCCATGGATGCTCAGGTCTCTTACATAAAATATGTACTATTTGCATACAACTTGCATATAAAAAATGTACTATTTGCATATAACTTATGCATATACTTCCGTAGCCTTTAAATCATTTCTAGGTTACTTGTAATACCTAATACAATATAAACGCTCTGCAAATAGTTGTTCTGCTGTATTGTTTTTATTTGTATTGTTTTTTATTGTTATTTACTGTTGGGTTTTTTCTGAGTATTTTCAACTCATGGTGGATTGAATCCGCAGAGGTGAAACTCGTGGATAGAAAGGACCGCCTCATTTGTTACAGCAGCCCTGGGAAACTAATGTGGCCTCCTACATCCCACCTCAAACACCCTGGGGGCAGCCACCTGAGGTTGTATAGATCAGATCTGTGGGTCCAATCCACAGGCACCTCCCTCTAAAATGGACCCGAGCCCTCCTCTGGGGCCAAGGACGGATCGGCCTTTCTGCGTTAGTGGAGACCACTGCCAGTACCTCTCTCCCATGTGCTAAGGCGACTCCTCTGGGCCAGGCCAAGCCAGGTACCAGCAACCCAGGGTCCCTTAAGACACATGTTGCCAAGACTCTGCCCTCAGACTTCTCAGAGGCACCGACCCTGTGCCAGCTCTGCCACTTCCTGACCCTGCAACCTTAGGCAAATAACCCCACCTCTCTGTGCTCCAGCAAGTGCCTGCTTGCTAGGGCTGCTGCAAAGGTTAAGTGCGTGGAAAGCAGTTGGAACAGGGCCTGGCTAGTAGCAAGCGCTCAATAACCTGAACTCTTATTGTTACTCTCTTCTCCTGGCCAGCACACACATGCACACACAGAGTTCCAGATGCCACATTCCAGCTGCAGCACACTGCTTAGAGCAGAGCTGGGCTGGAGAGTGATGGAAGACTCAGGCAAGAGAGCTGCCTGAGGAGAAGGGCAGATAAACATAAAGAAGAGGGTGGGCTGGCACAGGGGCTGGTGGCAGGGATACCAGCCATGAAGAGGTGGCTAGCAGATGGAAGCATAGAGGGCACAGGACGATGGGCACAAGGCCCCATCCTCACCAGGTAGTTGCCTCCATGTTTGGACTTGAGCATCTGGGCCACCTCACGGAGGTTGCTCCGGAAGTTCTCCTCATTGGCTGTGCTGGGGAAGGAGACAGCGATGATCCTCTCTGTGACGTACACCAGGTCCAGCTCACAGCTGTCCTCCATGGTCCGGCTCACACTCATGTTTCTAGGGAGACAGCAGGCAGCAGAGGGTCCAGATCAGAATCCAGCCCACAGGGAAGGCCCCAGACAGCTGTACCCCATACACATCCTGTGTGACCCCCAATTGCAGTCCAGGGTGCTTGGCTGCTCTTCAACCCAAGGCCAAGGCCAGAGGCTTCCTCTGGCAAGGCCAGTGTGGCCAGCTTGGGAGTGCCGGTGAGAACAAGCTGGGTAGGGCTGGCAAGGACCTCAGGCCATTTCAGAACCAAACTGATAACACCAATTCTTGGTTCCCATCAGTCCACTGCCTTCAACCTGTGACTCCAGAGCTCAGAGCCAGAGCCAGACTGGCCCAGGAACCCGGAGCTCTGGCTCCCGACACTGTGACTGCCTAGCCAGGCAGAAATCTCCCGAAAGGCCCCAGACTGCTCTGGAACAGGAAAGAGAGCCTGCGCTGAACGCTCTCCAGCCCTGGAATGGAGCCTTCCACTGCCCGCCCCTCGCTCTCTCGAGCTGTGGAGTGGGCGGGAGACCTCTCAGGGGAGAGGGCAGCTCAGGTGACATGTTCACCTGGGTTCCAGGTAAGCCAGACCACAGCACACATTCCAGCCCTCCCGGAGGCAGGCTGACTCCTGCCCTTTGTTCCTTGGCCTTCTCCCCACCTCTGGCAGCTCCCACCGCCTGCCAGAGCTGCTTCTTGGCAGCAGCCTCCCTGATTTCTAAGGGCCCAGGAAACAAGAGGGCATGGAGCCCTTGCTGCTGCAGTGGTGGGTAGCTGCCAGCACCATGCATTTCCCGGAGAGGTGGGGAGGTCCCTGGGCTGGCCATCCTCTCCACTGGGCACCAGGTGAGGAAGGGAGGGGCTCACATCTTTACATCTCTCCCAACTTTTCTTCCAGAGGAAGGGTCCAGGATGCCCACTGGGGAAGCCCACCTCTTGCTTCTAGAAGCACCTCCCCCATCCTCCAGCTTTTTACCCCATCATCAACCTCCTAGTGTCTCGCTTCCCCTTCTATCAAATGCAGGCAGCACTCACATTTCGTTCTGCTAACCTTTCACCACAGCGGGATAAAGTGGAGAGTAAAGGCCAGTGAAAGGAATACCGCCGGGATATTTAAAAGTTACAAGGGCTTTCTGGCACTAGACAGAACAAGGCCCCAGATGCTGAGAAGCCGTGAAGAATCCAGACCTCCACCAGGGTTCAATCCCAGCCCAGGTGGGGCGTGGAGGTGGGGCAGCCAACGATGAGGCATGGCAGGTCCTCTCTGGTGGGATGACAGGGCCCCAAGTGGGATTGGGGACCAGCACCCGGGGGTAAGGAGCCCGGTTTGAGTTTGACTCTGAGTCCCGGCCACTTCTTGTCCCTATGGAAAGCTTCTCATTGCAGCTGTGGGGGTGGTGAAGTTTCTATCTCAAGCCAACTGCCTACCCAAGGACAGTTCTTGTAGGTGGTGACCAGTTTGGGACAAGAAGCCACATGCACACATACCTGCAAGCAAGTGGGTGTGAGGGCGGGGAGCCTCAGCTAACTTGCAGCATCCCCTCCTCCCCACCCTCCAAAACCCCTCTCTGTCCTGGCTCCAAGGAAGAAACTAGAATGTCAGAAAAACTCGCAAGCCCAAGCTCCTGTGATTTCAGCCTCTCCCTCAACACAGGAGGGGGAGCAAGAGGTACTGCTGAGGGCCGTGAGTCAGACGTGGCCCATGGGGACGCTGACCTGCCCCTGTCTACAGGCTGGATCCCGGGAAGGACGCAAAGGCAGAACAGTGCCACCAACCGGACAGCCTCAGCATCACACTCTGAATCCATCTGGCCAGGTCTGAGGGAAGGAGGGGACCCTCTAAGAAGCCACCTCCAGTCCGTGGACAGCCAGCAGAGGGGCCAGAAACTGCCAGGGGCTTCCACTCTACCCCAAGGCTGGCATCCCCGATCATCTCAGGAGCCTCGGTGGGTGAAGGTGAGGCAGAGGCGGAGGGGAGCAAAACAAACTCTCTGGATCACCAAGACACAAAGTCCCTCGTGCATCCCCTTCCCCCGGCCCCTGCCAGCCTAGCCAGATAGGGAACTTTCCTTTTATAAACTACTCTGCCCAGTCAGAACCCCCTGTTTGCAGAGAGGAAGAGATTCAGCACAGGCCTCGATGCCCACCAGCCCGAAATGCAAATCCAAGTGCTGCTTCTTGGTAGCTGTGTGACCTTTACAAGTCACCTCATCTCTCTGAAACGCAGCTCTACCAAAGGGAATAAAATACGTACCTTGTGGGGTTGTTGCAAGGACTAGATGAGCTCATGCAGGTAAATAAAGACTCAGCTCAAGGGCTGGCTAAGAGCTCAAAACACAACTGTTGCCAAGGGCATCTGCACCCATCCCCTCCTGTGCCTTTCACATTTGCCCACACTCCCCACCCGTGGCTTTATGGCTGCAGTCTGGGGCACCCAGAGTCAAGACTTAACAGGAACACCCACAGTGACCCCCCTGCTTGCACTCCCGCCCCCTGCCCCCATGGGCCAGGCATACCTGATGGGCTGGAGGTGGGGCTGGACACTCGGGGTGACCCTGGCGGAGCCCTGAGAAGGAGAGAAGAGAAGCGGCATTATGCAGGGGTGGGCAGGATGACGGGAGGAGCACACCAGAGAGCTGTCCACAGGAGCAAACACGATCCTCTTCTCCTTTCCCTGCCAACATTCCGACCCTGCCACCCTAACCCCTGCAAAAACACAGCCTGCCCGAAGCCAAAGCCATCAACACTGATTCCACGTGAGCGTGCCTGCCTGTGTGCAAGCCCCAGAGGGACGAAAGGAAGAAATCCCGAATGCTGAGGACTGCACCCCACCGGGCTGGTGCCATCCAAACTGAGGGCACACTCAACAGTTACGGACTCAGTGGAAACACATTTCACTTTGATTCACTCACCCACACAAGAGAAACCCCAAGAGGAGAATACGACTGCCACCACGAAAGAAACAGGAGCGATGAGAGTAATGGCGCCCCTCTGTCCTGCCACCATCACCCCACACTTCTCTGCTTGAAAGTAGTGACGTCAAGTCATTCACTTGAGTTTAGAGACCAGAACAGCCAGGTGGAGCATGCAGGAACCAAGACGAGGCCTAAGGCAGTGAGCCATGCTCCTGAGGGCCCACTCCCCACTGTCTGTGGCAGACAGTAGCCATCTCACCCACTCCCCTTTTCACAGCTGTCGAGTGGTACGAACTTAAGCAAATGGGCCCAATCCATCCCAGGGCAGCAGGATGGTATGGCGGGTGTGAAAGCACAGGGTCAGAGGCCCACAGACCATGGAGTTTGGATTCCAGGATTCTGCTGGACAGCCCTGTCAGTTGTAATGTAACCCCTCTGAGCCTCTTGTAATGTCACATGTAAAATGGGACAACCTTCAGGCTGGCGGTGAGAATCCAAAGGAGTTATGCATATAAGGCACTTCGCATCATGCCTGGCATTCGCCAGATGACAGCTGTTGTTTCTGTCGTTACTTTTGTATCAAGAAAAATGAAAAGGGTAGTTACAACCAAACATTCACCTCTATAGAAAATCAAAAACCTGCATCGCCTCTACCCATCCTTCCAGCCACCTCATAGGATGCAGAATCGGGATGCCCCGATTCTAGATTCTCAGACCTCCTGAGCCCATTGACACCGTCCAAACACCCATGTGCCTCTCGGAAAATGGCCTTTTCCTCCCACCAACTTGCAGCCTCTTCCTCGGGGAGACAGGACCACAATCTGCCAAGAAAGGAAGAAACTGAGGCACAGAATAACTTACCCTCAAGTCCCTAGGAAGTTGATGGCCAGGCAGGATTCACACTCCAACCCGGGGCTTGACCATGGGGTCTCCAAGAAGAGGAGACCCTGCACCCCTCTCCTGGCTCTGCAGTGCCTACGAGGCAGGATAGGTGGGCTCCGAGGCCCAGCTCCCAGCTGAGCCCCAAGTTAGAGCAGCTCTGCTAAGAGGGGGACCCTCCATCCAGCCTTCGGGAAGAAGGCTCTGCCCAGAGTCCGCTCTGTCCCAGCTGCCTCGGACCAATGAGCAGCCCCGCAGCAGTGAAGGAAGGAAGAGCCAAGTGCGGCTATCGGGGGGAAGTTTCTAAGTCTCACAGCTCTTCTGGCCCTGAGGACTCCAGTTTGCATGAGTCAAGCTTGGGGGTGGGGGGATTAGAGAAGGGTGGAGCTGGGAGTCAAGGAGTGATTGTGTTTGGTTTTCAAGACCCAAACCAGGCTGTTCCAAAACTACCCGCTCAGTGGAACACAGAAACCCAACACTTCATCTATCTCCATTCCACTAGTCCCTAATGAGGAGTCCCTGAATCTCCCCAGGCCCTAGGCCCTGCTCCAGGCCCCAGGGCCACCCTGCTATAAATAGCCCCTTGGGTTTCATCTGTTGCTGATCCGTAGCCACTTTTGGAGGAAGCCACCACAGCTGCTTTGAACAACTGGAAGCCACAACGGTAGCCAAGACGTGAGGTGTGGCCGGGAGCATGGGACCAGACCCAGGGAGCTGGAGAAAGACAATGGGCCATATTGAGATGGGCTTGGCAGGGGGAACTGGGGAACCAAGGGGAGCTGGGAGCCTGTAAAGGTGCAGGGGTAAGCAGGACGAGCAGGGCAGCAGACCTGGCTCCCGTTTCCCCACCGCCCTCTTCCAAACGTTACAACACTCCACATTCCTCAGCCTCCCCACCCCAAAAAAAGCCAGCGAAGATAAATAAAAACTTGGCCCAAACAGAGTCTGGCCAGGCCGCCTCCAGAGGTGATAAGGCAAAGTCCAAGCCCGCTCTGCTCCACCGGGCGGCGGGGAGAGGGGAGCAGGGGGAGGAAGCCACCCTGGACAGTGACCCCACTGCGGAGGATGGGGGACGAACAGCTGGGACTGTCATCCCCTGATGAATCACTGGACTGCCCTCTCACTGACGGGGCTTCCTGTTTTCTGCAAAGTTTGGGGGCACGTGACCCTTGCTGGCAGAGAGAGAGCAGACATGCACGGTGACACGTCTTAGTGTCGGTGCACACAGACAGAACTCAGAGAACAACAAATGGGCTGGGGCGGGGGGGTGCGGCATGTCAGCAAACACACCCTAGTGCTCCAGAAACACAGGTGACCTCACACGAGGGTAGCGATGGCGCCTTTGGAAGCATGCCTCATCGTGTAGCTCTTTACAAGCACGGTGGGAATAAGTCAAGGCATCCGGTCATCCCTGAGCCTCCAATCTTCATGCTCACTCTCTCATTCAGCAAACATCCACCGAGTGCCACCAGCTGTGTGCCCAGCCATGCTCCAGACACCAGGGGACAAAGGAAGTGAAGTCCCTGACCTCAGAGAGCTTGTATTTTACGGACCATGATACTCATCAACAGACCCAGTGGGAGGAGGAGAGGTTCCATCTCATTTACCCATCTGTAAAATGGGCCCCGTACAGCGCTCACATAATCTTCTGCCTACTCTGCATAGAACCCCTAGGGCAAACAACTACAGGACTTTACAAACTGTTTTAAAAAGAAAAATAAGTTCTCTGCCTGCCTGTAATCCTATCTTTTCCTCTCTGGGGATCACAAAGCACTTTACCCACAAGGCTTTGAACTTCTTCCTACCTCCTCTCAAGACATAGATCGATTATAGAACTTTTCATCCAACTCTCTAAACACCAAACAGAACTCTCCCCTATCCTCACCTCCAAAACACTGTCCTTCCTTTGCTGAAAGGGCACCATGAAAGGAGACTCCACAGCCTCCCGGACATAGTGTCTTACTTTTCTCACTGTCAGGAAGTTCCTCCTGGTATCTAACCCCCATCCTTCCTGCTGCAGATTCAGCCAACTCTTTTTGCCTTGGTCCTCACTGCAGGCAAGAGCTGATCACCACTCAGACACTACTGGGTCGCTCAAGGTCTATGACCCCAGGTTCTGTTATCTGCCGCCTTCTTCCCCGTCATGAGGCAAGGAGCAGGAACCCCCAGCCTTGGGTGGGGTTGGTTTGAAGCAATGCCTCTGTGGGAAGAGCCCTGCCTTCCTTTGAGGTCCACAGACCAAACACAACAGCTCAGGACCAAAAGAAAAGCCATTTCCTGAGCCCAGGTCCCCAGAGGGGCACAGTTGGGAGGAGGGTCTGTAAGCGAACACCAGGGGCCTTGTCAGGCAGCCAGAGATTGGTGACTGACCTACGTCAGGGGCCCGGCCCCGTTCCTACATCTCCTCTGGGGGCTGTGGCCAACCCCCACATAGCACCCCCTTCAGCCACACCCCTTCCCCTCTCCTTCCTGCCCACTAGCCTGGATTTTTCCAAAACAAAGTGCGACACAGCACACTGTCCACAAACTCCACTACACACCAACTCGGCAGGAGGAAAACAGCCATTCCTGCCTGTGAGTCCTGGGCCATGAGCCAGAGACAGCAACGCAGCTTGACAAACAGCCACATTATCACAGCAGCAGGCCCAGGTCCTCCTCCCCCGGGGTGGACTGCTGGAGAGTCCCGTGGCTGGGCAGGGGAATGGCTCAATGACCCTGGGGCCAACCCAACCTGAGACAGGTGACAGGAGCCTTAAAATTTAGGTTTTCTCTCCTCCTTTGCAGTACACAGGCCGTTCTGCTAACTGCTCACTTGCTTACCCTTCCAAAGCTCATCTTGTCCCTCCTCCCATATCCAGACAAGACAGCACACTTACCCATCTTGACACACAGGCACAGACATATCCATCCCAGATCACCAATACTTTCTTCTTAAAAAAGTCAAAGAGCCTCAGTCACAAATAAACGGCCACCTCTTTCTTCCCTAGGACCAAGGTTGTGCACACTCTTGCAATCAAAAGTTCTTTGTGATGTCCAACTTCACTCTCTCTTGCTGTAACGCTAGTTGACGGGATCCATCTGGCCCAGGCTGGGAATGTGGGGACAGCAGCTCTAGGATTTGGCTCCTGAGTGTGCCCAGACCATTGGCTAGAAGGCTTGGTTCACACACCATCACCCTGTCCCCTTGCCAAAGGTTAGGAGTTCGGGATAACACCAGACCCCAGCAGCAGTCCCAGGAAGGGATGGAGTGGCATTCACCGAATCATTCAGCAATGCCAAGCCTCTGTTTCCTCATCTATAAAGTGGACTCATAGGCTCTGCCATACAGGGGTATCAGGAGGATCTCAAAATAGCCAACACAGCTCCCAGCCCTTAGTCAAAATAACAGTAGTAAGAATGGCTCACAGTTATTGAGCACGTATGATATATTTTGAGTACATGAAGCTTGTATATCCTTGGTAGTAGGTACACACAAAAGATTAGGTTCCCCCTGCACCCCAGCCCCAGAAACATCACAAGCAGGGACAAGGGCCCCTCCCCAGTACGAGTACCCCATGCCCAGAGGAATTCACGCATACCTTGAGCGGAGCCTTCCCCACTAATTTAAGAGGCATGCTCCCTGCTCCACCTGGAGAGGTCCCATGTGGCCCTTGGGATGCTGCCGCTTTGTAGGGCTGGACATGCAGGACGGCCCCAGGGCAATGTGGCGGTGGCAGTGGGCTCACCACAGGAGTCAGGCTGCCTATAGGAGCTGCCCCTCCTGCTCCCGCAGCACTCCCTCCAGGGCCCTCCCCACCGTGGGTCAGGCAGCTGTCAGATGATAGGGCCTCGTGCCATCAACATCTACCCCTGTGCCAACCACCAAAACCACTCCCTGTTCCTCTGCAGCCCAGGGCGGGTGAAGATGGAGGGGCCAGCACAGGAGGCACTGTCAGAGAGGGGCAGGGAAGAAAGGAGAAAGCCCCACTGTGCTGGGAGTCTGCCCCTGGGGTGTGGAGACAAGCCCAACCCCAAACGAGGCTCAAAGCACGTCCTGGAAGAGCCCCTGAGCCCTTCTGCGGGATCCTTCCATTTCAGGCATCCGCCCCTTCCCCTCTCCCCAAAATGGGAGGCAGGAGGAGCCCAGGGGGACCCGTGGACCCATCTACCAGCCTCCTCCTGAAGCAACAGCATCTAAGCCACACAGTGGTGCTTGCTATTTTCTAAGACTCTTGTCTCCAGGGAAGCAGGCCCTACCACTTCCCCAAGGACTAAGACGGCCCCAAGAGTCAGGGCTCCTTCTCTGCCTCAGCCCTCAGTTTCCCTTGCTGTGGTTTTGCGCATTTCCCCTTGCTCCCCATGGCCACTCATCACACACCAGCCTGCCGTAGCATGCCCTCTCTCCTCCCGCCCGGCCTGAGCACTGAGGCCTGGCGCAGTCACGGACAGATGAGCTCTGGATCCCGCTTAGATGGAGGTGGCAGCCAAGACGAAGGCCCAGCCTGTAAGGAAACGGGCCTGCCCACAATCCCAGCCTCTCCTTCTACAGAGAGGTAAGGGAAGCCCACAAAACAAGGCATTATCCACCTTTCACCCCATTCCCCCTGGCCACCAGGGCCCAGCCCCATCCTTCTTCTCCCCCTCCACACTCACGTTGTCCTCGAGGCTTTTCCGTGTGTTTCCACCCCGGGAGGCTCCTTCTCCCTGCAGACAGAGAAAAGGCAGTCAGAGAGGGGAGGCGAGAAAAATAATCAAAACGCACCCAGGTCTTCCACCTGCTGGGTTCGTCAGGAGTGGCAGATGAGGAGGTTGGCAGAGGGGCCTGGAAATAACTTTGGTGTTTGTTTCACATTTCTTTGCTCATATCAAGGCCTCCTCAGAGCTAACCAAACCCTCTTGTTTACAACTCACCACCACTTCTGTGGGAGATACTGTTATTCTCATTTTGCAGATAAGAAAACTGAGGCACAGACAGGCTCATGCTTTGGCCACAGTCACATAATTAGAACCTTGGCGGAGTCAAGGTTTGAACTGAAGTCCTTCATCTCCAAGCCCATGATTTCCTGCTGATCATCACCAGGAGATCTCTCTCGGCAGTTAACCTCAGTTTCCCCACTGCGGAACCCACCTACTTTCCTCCCTTCAATCTTGCACATAGCCTGGAGGAAACTGTCCGTCTCTCAGCTAGGTCAGAAAGACCTGTTTGGAAAGATCTGCCTGGCTTTCTCACATTCTGCATATTTCATAAGGAAGCCCACATTTAACTACCGGCTGCTCCCTCTCAGCTCCCACCCCGCCTCTCCCTCTCTGCCTGCCCAGTTGCCTAGCAGCCCATTTCCGAACACGCGGGGATAGTCAGACGCCCTTCTCCCAGCGTCAGCAGCCACCCCACTACTTCCCCGCAAGTTCCCCAAATCTATTCTGGAAGCATTTCCCCAACCACATCTGTCCGCTCTCCCCCAAATCCACTCTCCACTTCTGGCCTTCTCACTCCTGCTCAGGCTGTTCCGGCTCCCCCCACCACCATCTGCCATCACTCACCGTATCCACTACATTCTTTGGTGTGTTCTCAGTGGTGATGGGCTGTAGACAGAAGGAGAAACAGCATGAGCCCTCAGGGCAGACATCCCAGGGATGGGTTCTCTCCCCATGGCCGGTGGCCCTGATGGGCAGAATGCCCCCTCAGACAGGGATGATGAGGCCAACCCAAGACTCAGGCATAATCTGGTTGGCCCCAAGCACAGGGGGAAGAGTGTGGCATGCGGAAAACCATCCTAATAGTGCTAGAACCATCCAGTTCTACAAACCTTCACCAAAGACCCACGCTCGGTGCCCGGCGTCAGTCCTCTGGTTCATACAGTTGCTGACC